TCGATATATTAAAACTTGGAATCGGAACCGATAATCTTGCGGAAAAAAAGGATTTGTAACAGAGCTGAACTATGGTTATTATTAGTTTTTCGTTCTTCTATTTCGAAAGCATCTTACCATAGACGAGAATCTGAATTCAGTTCTATATGAAGGTTACACAAATTTTAATTTTATTGTAAAATTTACCGTTTCGAGTTCATGCAGTCTATATAACAATATATTTGTAGTAAATTATAATTAATGCCTATATATCACATATAGTTAGTTACTATTATTGGCCACAGAGAAATACACGTGACGATGAACGTTGAAAATAGGCTTTCTTTATAGTAAGTACAAAGAAATCCTAATTATTACACTAGTTTAAGATTATGTAGCTACCGTGTCCTTTTGAGAATCGAATCACGTCATTTGTTAAGCAAACGAGTTGCATCTTCAAAGTTATGTTTAATGATTATTTAGCTATTTCAACACATTATTTATAGATAGCTGCATTGGAATTATATATTTATTGAATTTCGTAATTTTTTTCTACTTTTGCAGAAATCATGAGAGTATCGGGAATGCTTTCGAATCAGATTGCGGAACTTGAAAGAATAGGGCACGATAATCCTTACAGGTCAATGGGCCCACAGCCCAACGGAAGGCAGATGAATATGATGAGATGGAATCCGATGCAAACTGAGGTAATAATTTTTTTTTTTTTTTTAAACACGTCTTATCTACATCTATACATGATAATTTTCTCTTTTTTGATATCTATTATTCGTGTTTTCTGTTGTTTCATCACTCATTAAGCATTATTCGTATACGTTCGACTTTATCTACTCCTCAGAATCATGCAAAAGTCGCTACAATTTGCATACCTCGATATTTTTTATCTATTTCAAGAAAGTGCATCACTTAGCTAAAAAATGAAGGCTTTATTGAACTTTTTTTCTTCGTTTCGGATTTTTAAATTGAAGGTCAAAGCTACGTCGGGTTTTGCTCGATTATACTTTTAAACTGTAAACGAAATATATTAGAATTTTTTTTTTTGGATTTTTTTTATTCAAATGTTATGCGACTTTTATTAGGAAGATAAGCTCATCCAGAAAATGGCTCCATTTCAACAATCGTCTTTAAACTGGAATGTAGTCCCGGGTACACCTACTACCACTCCAGTTGTCAAAAGGGTACTCCGATTAGATGTTCCTGTCGAAAAATACCCAAATGTAAGTTTAATATATTTTTTATTTTTTATTTTTTTTAATTATTATTGAAGTGAGTTATTATATTTTTAAGAGAGCGATCGATACTATTGTACTGACTCAAAAGACGATGCAGTTTAACTTTGTTGGCAGAATTCTAGGACCACGTGGGAATTCTTTGAAAAGGGTCGAAGCAATGACGGATTGTCGAATATATATACGGGGTCAAGGATCCGTGAAAGATTCCCTTAAGGTATTGACTTTATTATTATTTTATTTTTTTACTTACTTTCAATTCCATAATGTTAATTGTTAAAAAGTTTATATTTACGATAATTATGTACGCATTGCAATAATCAAGGTTGGAGATGTACTTGGTAACATCTCCCTTTCCGTACTCGTATTTACAGAATAATGAATTTTACATTTTTTCACGCACTCGACATTTATTAAATCGTCCCATGAAACAAACTTGTCCATGCAAAATGTATTTATATGCTGCGTATAAGAATATTATAGACAATCCGAAATTTTTGGATACTCACTTACTCATGTTAGACACTTTTTGGACCATTTTCGTAATTTTCGAAAAAACAGAAACATGTTTTTATTTACACGTTTCCCGACATTCTCGTGTTCTACTTAAATTGGTAAAGAATCCATTCAAATTTGAATAAAATTATTAAGTTGGGACTTATACGTTGCCTTTTTTTTTTTTTTTTTGTAATTTTAATTTTTTGAATTTTATAGGAAGAGACTCTAAAAGATAAACCGGGATACGAGCACTTAAACGAGCCACTCCACATCTTAGTGGAAGCCGAGTTTCCGGAAGATGTAATGGACGCCCGTTTGGAACACGCAATCGCAATACTCGAAAACCTCCTAAAACCCGTGGTAAGCAATAATTCATCACCATAAACTTTCGAAACAAAAAATCCTAAATCACCCGCATGAACTCTAACATTCCCCCTTCCTCACAGGACGAATCAATGGACGTTACAAGAAGCAACAGCGAGA